AACTTTTGAAAATATATAACAATGTTCTGAAACTTACTTAAATATATGTCCAGATTGAACTGTGTCAGTTTGTATCTGATCATACCTGATCATACCTGATCATATCTGATCACATCTGATCAGATATTAACATATACAATAATACTAGATCATATATCCTCAGATCTGGCCAATTTCCATATCTGACCATATATGGCCAATCATATATGATTATATATGATCATATATGAATATTTTTTCCCGGGACGATCGAGTTTTTTGGGAACCGTATAGACCACGTCGAATCTTTTGTTCCTCAGGGCCTTACTAATACTCTCGCTACAATTCTTTATGTAAGGAATGGTGACAGGATGTTGCACAGTATGAACCTTGTCGTTTCTCGAATCGCGGTTCTTTAAAAGCATTAATCGTCGTTTTATGTATTTGTTATAAAAATATGTCGGATAACAATTATCAGAGAGAATCTCTTTAACAACACGGATATTATTCTCATGGAAACGCTCGTTAGACAACAAAATCGCTCGGTCAACCAAATTAAAAATAACGTTAACTTTGTAGTTAATTGGGTGGCTTGAGTAAAAATTAATGTAGCGTCCTGAGAAGGTGGATTTCCTGTACCAATTTGTTAACAGATTTTCGCCATCTCTATTAACGGTCACATCTAAGAAGTTGATCGAGAGATTGGTCTCAGTTTCGCATGTAAAATTCAGACGCGGGTGGTAACTGTTAAAAGCCTCAAGCGTGTCATTTATTTTATCACGTAGGATAATTGCAAATATATCGTCAACATATCTCCCGAATATGGGAACCTTGAAACTTAATAATTCAAGGCAATATGTTTCAAGGTCGTCAAGCACTATGTTGGCAAGGATAGGGGAAAAAGGAGACCCCATGGGACTACCAAAAATTTGATCGTAAATATTCCCGTTAAAACTAAAGCTAGTGAAGCTTAGAACAATGTCAATCGCGTATAAAAATTGTTGTAAAGTTAATTTGGTGAGATGTGACACCATCGTTTTTTGATGCCTTCCATAACAAGCTCCTTCGGGATGTTAGTGAAAAGAGAAGTGGCGTCGAGTGAAATGAGAATTTCGTCGGGCAGAATTTTCAATTTTTTAATGCTCTCAACGAAACACCAACTGTCTTTTATATAAGAACGCGGTTTAAGAATGGAATCGTTCAAAATGTTGTGAAGATAACAAGCGATGTTATATAATGGGCTACCGACCGCGGAGACAATAATCCGTAGTGGAAAGCCGTTTTTATGAATTTTTGGTAGTCCGTAGCAACGGGGCAAGTTACCGCACGTGCTGCGTAGTTTCTTGAAAGTATGCTCGTCAATAATTTCATTGTCATACCATGAGCGAACTAAACCATTGATTTTAGTTGTTAGGCGCTTGATAGGGTCACGATCGAGTTTCTTATATGTTGTCTGGTCGTTGAGTAAGTCAGTCATTTGTTCTATGTAAGTCGTTCTGTCCATGACAACAGTAACTTGGCCTTTATCAGCCTTTGTGACCAACAAGTCGTCGTTATTTTTTAAGAATTTTTTACATTTGTAAAATGAGTCCGAGATAAATCTGTCAATGTGATTCACATGTTGTTTATTAGTAAGAAACCCTGGTAATATATTAGAAATCGATAAGCGTGTTTTATTAGCACTATCTTGGTTAATTTCGTGACTATTAAGTTCGAAACTTTTTATTACATGCAATACAGAGTCAACGCGGTCATTTCTATCACAAAAATTGATCGGCAAGCCAAATCTGTCACCTAAGCTAAGAAATTTCGAGACGTGGTCGGGAATCTGTTTGCTACTCACGTTGACAATCCATTTATTCATGTTCTTTTCAGAAAAAACATTACCGAGTCGATTACGTTTAACTAAAATATGATTGAATTTATCCATTAGCTTAAGCTTAGTTCGACTATTGTGGCGGGAAATACTCTCATTGTTACGTTTAAAGAAATCCGTGACCAAGCATTCTGGTAAAGACCGAAAAAGATAATTTTTAATGTCGCGGATCTTGGAGCGTAAGGCTTTTATATAAAAGTGAATGTCTTTAATCTCGAGATTTAACAACTTTTTTTGGTACTTAGTGTTAAAGGTCTTATATTCGTGGTTCATTCTGTCGAGTTTGAAGAGAACGTTGAAGCGTAGGTTATAGATGTGCGGCGGCAGGATGTCGCATCGTCTGCATCGAAGAAGAAAGGTCAGTTGCTGAAGAGCAGTGCATAGCGTGATGTTAGTTTTAACCCAAGACTTTAAAGACAAGGTGCTATTATGTCCGTATAGTTCGGTGGTAGTCTTGAAAAATCCTTTGTCTTGATGGAACACCATTGTTAGGTCGAGGTGTGTATTAAAATATCAAATACTTTTACTTCGCCAGTGAGTAGTGAAATTACAAAATCCTTTGCTGCGACCAAACTGGCTAATATTTATTTAACAAGCACAACGCGTTTCAACCGAGATTCCGGTCCTTCTCAAGTGCGTACAATAAATTAACGCTTGCAAAACACTTCATTATACACAATGTGGCAGCAATGAGTCTACGAAATGTTTTGTGTGTCAAAGGCGATAAAAGATATGCGAGTCATATTAACAAACGTGAAATTCGGTGGTGCGTTCACTATAGGTGACGACAGACGACGTGCATTAGGAATTTGCACATTGTTTTATTTTACTCATAAAGCTTCCCCTATATGAGGAAGCCAAACTAATTAATAAAATAATAATTATACAACAAAAAAAATACAAGCTTCCTCATAAGAGAAAGTTTTATGAGCGAAATAAAGCAATGTGCAAATTCCTAATTTGCACACTTAAAAATGGTGAGAAAACAATGTGCAAATTCCTAATTTGTTTTAGTTTTTCTCCATAAATGTAAATAATTAGGACAAAAATTGTATAAAGTGTCGAAGATAATCTTAATAATCTTGATAAAGGATGAAGGTTTTGTGTTGTAAAACTGCAAAAATGATTTATCAAGTTTTTTTATCTGATAAAATATTTATTTTCAAAGTTAAGATTAAAAAAAAAAATTTTTGATTATATAATTTTTTATCTCTCCTTTTTTACAAATATTTTTATCTTTGTTTAGAATTTTTTTTGCTTCCTCATAGAGGAAACTGTTTTCGTGAAAAAAATTTTTTTCAGGTATCTTTGGCAAAGTGTTTAGAATGTTCTAAAACGTCAAAAAATCACTTCTGTGCAAAATGTTCATGTGTGTGTGTGTGTGTGTGTGTGTGTGTGTAACGCTTTTGTTGTCCGTTTATGCTCTAACTTCCGTAATTTTTTAGATATTGGGATGCATGTTTTTTAATCAATAGAGTATCATGTAAGGAAGGTTGGGATTGAATTTGACGATGATCGGTAAAGCGGTTCTTTTTAAGATTCTTTTTTAAATAAACAAAACAATTTCCGTCGCCAGCAAATAATTCAAAATAAGTCGTTTTATTTTCGACCCAACTGGCCAATTAAAACAATATTCTTTTTTAACAAAATTTAGAATTTTTGTACATATGTTTTAGGTTGCTTTAACTTCCACAAATTTTGAGATATTGGTCTATTTCTAATTTTATTATATTTTTCAGTCTTTTTTACCCCTATTTCATATATAATTTTTTAAGATTTGGTTGATTAGATTTAGCTTTATACGCGATCAAAGGTCCATATGAGAAAGTCCATATATGGACCATGTAGCTTGAACTTCCAAAGTTAACATTGATTTGACATTGCGTCAATTGTAAAACCCCATTTGTGCTACTAAGCTGACCCTTTTTCAATTCATAAAAAAAGGTTAAATTTAAAATTTAAAAAAGTGTGCAAATTAGAAACTTGCACATTGCTTCCTCATCATTACAGATAGCTCCTATTTTATTTCGCTCATAAAGTTTCTTCTATGAGGAAGCCAAACTAATAAATACTTAATAATTATGCATCAAATAAAATAGAAGCTTCCTCATAAGAGGAGCTTGGTGAGCGAAATAAAATAGGAGCAATAGTAGCGATCTGTAATGATGAAGAAGCAATGTGCAAGTTTCTAATTTGCACACTTTTATATTTTATTTTACAAAGCTAAACTTACGTTCTCCTGCGCATTTAGTCGCAGTCGCTTTCAAAGGACCCGCCATGTCAGCTGGCATCATTAAATCCAATTGTTTGATCATCATGCCGTCATCTATGCGTCCATTTTTGAACTTAATTGGAAAAAGATGCGTTTAAGTAGCTTGTATTGTTAAAACAAATTCTTGAATAATTATAATTTAAACGTTGCAAATACATTGATAATATATCTTGAAGCACTTGTTAATGTGATTGTTAATAATGTTATTGAATTGTTTATAATCGCATGATATTTTATCTATTATGTTTAGTATATCTTCTTTTTCTTACAGTTCGCATTGCCTTCATTATACAAAGTGTATAGCATTTCAACGTTTGATTGTTATCTGGGAATACGCCTTTCTGTATTGCTGCGACAGCTCCTGTAGAAAGAAAGTATAAAAAATTGATATTTTGAAGTTTTAAACAAATATGTTATACTATAATATTTTATCAAAGTCGTGAATAAAATTATTATCTTCGAATTATTCCAATAACAAGCACTCAGCAAGATCTCTGAGAAAAAATTGTAATTTACAATTATGCAACATTGCCAATTACATGATTAATTTATTTAAAACTTTTATTTATAACATTAAAATTATAATATAAACAATGTTGAAAAATTTTTTAAAACAATAATCAATTTACAAAAATTAGAAATATCAGATTAAGACGCAGATATAGTGCAATTCTTATTCGTACATACGAAGAAGAATAGTTGAAGAATAGTCTCTAATGTAAATGACATTGGATCTCGTAAACAAGAATTATTACAGATTACTGTAATTGCGAGCGGAGTCACATGTTCTCGTATTAAGTGCGTGTCATTTGATTTTATTTCTTGATATTGTTTATTTCTTTTTCTCTTTTTTATATTTGCTAATTAATTACGATTAAATATATTTACATATATTAAATATTTTTTTACATTGTTGGAAAATTTTTGTAGTTTTGTTAAAAAAGGTCCTTGTTAAAAATTTTGTGTAAAATAATTAACACATACATGTGTAGATTTAACATATGCCTGCTATATTAATTGAACTTAAATGCTTGGCCCGATATATGGTATCCGATGATTGGCCGATACTTGGTATTCTATAGTGGACCATGCTTGGCGAATGATTGGGTGCCATTCAGATAAAAGAACTGTACATTTTGCCATGGCGCTAATGTTTGGCCCAACATACGATGACCAATGATTGGTCAATACTTGGCTTACTGTATTCGCCCATGCTTGACATTAAGCGTGTTAAAGAGGTTGGTTGCCGTCTAGTATCAGATCATCCGATAGATGGCATCCGATGAAATCCGTTTCTCAAATATAAAATATGACGAACGATGATATAAGAATGATGACGGAACTGCACATTGCACAACTTGTATATAAGTTGTTTTGTGGCATACACTTTTATAATAAAGCGTGGCACACTTTTGGATTAATGTGACGTTAATGTAACTTTATTTTAGTAAATGATATCTTTATTTTTGAAGACTGCACACTACAAATACAAGTGTGTTACTTTTACACATTTTAAGTGCATTATTCATTATAGACTTCTTACACGTTTTATCGCGGTTTTCTTTTTCCAGGCCTCTCGAATTTACCAGAAATTTATATTTTATAATAGATTAGCTATTAATGGTCAAATATTGGCAGGACAGATTAACCATTAATGGCCCATGATTGGTTACCACGTTTTGCCTATGATTACCCATTGCTGGACCAAAGTTATCATTCCAGAGAAGTCCCATTGCTGGGCCAGTCATGGCTGCCATTATCACGCCAATATTGGTGACTTGGGGACCAGTTTTGAGCTAGAATAGGACCATTAGTAAAACCCTATATGGGATGTAAAATTACTAAAATAATTTAAAATACTTCCGGACATTTTTTACTAATACGATTTTTCGACATTTAGAACATTCTAAACCTATTTCGATCAAAATCTCGAAAAAATTTTTTTTCACCATCACAAAGCTTCCTCTATGAGGAAGCAATATGTTAAAGTAACACAATTTAAACGTATTTATTAAATGTGTTAAAATTTACAGAAAAAGAATGTTGATTTCACTCTATAACAAAAGTGGAAATAAAAATTTGCAGAAAAATAGTGTTGATTTTATCTTACAATCTTAACTTCAACATAAAAGTTATGTTAATTGTACACATAATTAACCTCAAATTACGATCAAAATTACATTTCCTTTCTGTTGAAATATTTTAACATAGTATCGGTGTTACCACATCCATATTATATTAAATTAACACAAAAATTTGAGTGGACTATTTGGGACATGTGATTTATGTTATATTTAACGCAAATTTTCCAACAGTGTATGCACATAATAATTAAAATTATCCTCAGTCCTATTACTCGTGTCCGAGCGTAGTGGCTTCTCTTATTCATGTATTATACATATGTTGCGCACGTAGATTATACACATTGTATATGGAATCTATAGTTTAACGCCGATTCCAAACGGCTATAATTTTTTAGAGAAGCGTTCTTGGCAAGACATACTCTCGGTGGTTTGCCATTGCCTTCCGACAGGAGAACGAGCGAATATAATTTTTGGCTCTGCCGGGATCGAACCCGGGACTTTGGTTCAATAGACCAGTGCGCTGTCTACTAGTAGGCCTACGCTCGTCTCAACAATAAATTAAAATTATAAAATTATTTAATTTATTCTTAACGTTTGTATTTGCACGTTTCTATAAATTATTACTATGTACAATTATACTTATTAAAATATTGTTTATAAGTTTTGTCGGTTTTTTGTGGAGTTTGGTATTCGAAACACTAAGTCAATATGAAAGCTTGCACTATTGTACATTAACGCTATCGATCATGATATTGCCAATGGGCACAGACATTACAAAATAAAATTCGGAACATTTGCATAACACTCACCGGCGTCTGCGTGAGATTTTGTCACACACGTATTTCGCATGGTCATTGCGGTTTTTTGAATTTGTTCCATTGTCATCACCTACATTACAATATAATTAAATTTATATATACTTTTGTTTTCTGTAATAAAATATAACTGCACATGTGTAATGCATTGCACTGACTACATTATAATAACATTTGATTATTTTTAAATAAATAAATTTTTTTTTATTATAAAAATTTATAATTTTTTCAAAAAAAATAGCATTATTAGCTACAATTTATTTTTAAAACATTATTTGTTCAATTATTTCTAATAAACATGTGACAAAAAGTTTCATGTTTATGATAAAAGTATTATTATATATTATAAAATCCATTAAAATTTTTTTATAGTTTGCATTAATTGTATAATTATTTATATAGAGTGATTTAAATATTCAAGAATTTTTTATGATATTTTCTTTAAATTATAGTGTAAATAACATCTTACAATTCAAAATAAAATAAAATTTTGGTTATACGCGCGAATTCCATATTTACCTCTTTTATTTGAAAAATGTCTTTGTCTATTTAATATAATAAGTTATTTAATGAATTATATAACTTACAGCATTTGCTTGATTTATTGCGGCCAGCACAACTATAATTGTGCAAATTAGTAAACGCACACGCATTTTACAGTATTTTTGATTAGAATACGCACAAAAATATAAACAAATTTAATCCGAAATGTGTTCTCGAAACCACCGACGCACTATGACTAGTTTTCGTCAGCTAACTTTTATAAAGTGTACAGCTGTCGACAGGTTGTTCGGTAATATACCGAGTGATAATCTCGTTTGGAGGCTTAATTTCGTAGCATTTGCCCGCTTAAAATGCATACTTTATACGGAGATTATGTCGAGACAAGGTAGGAAGTTTCCGCGATTTATCATGTCGAAGAAGGAATCGACAATTTGCACATGACGATATATCATTAAATGGTTTTAACTGCACATTTTTGCTGACAATTTTCATTAAATCTTTTAAATGAAAAACAGAGAAAATATACAGGAATTCTGGCTTTAATTAAACGAGTGCATAACAAATGTGTGAAAATTAATCGCAGGGACGCGAGAATGTTGACGGATACAAGGGAAAGCGACGAAGAGAGTAGGAAAAAATGTAATTATCGATCAATTACCTATGCAGAGAGTAACTCTCATCGAACTAATGACCGCACATGAAACACTGAAAAAGGCGATTTTAAGGCGAATGACTCGTTTGGCCTCTCCATTGTGATACAAGTATTTCACATTAGTTTAAATCTCTGCCAGAGAATTCGATGAAAATGTCAATGAAAAGTTCAATCTTGAATAATATTTCGAGTTAAGATTTCTTTTTAATTTTGAAGCAAGCATGAACATGAACACAAAAGATATAAATAAAAAAATTTTTATGTATATTTTTTTATTTATATCTTCATTTCTTCCCGACTGTCTCATATAATGCGTAACTAAATCTTATAAGAATGATTATAAATAAAAATAAAAGTAGAACTCGATCCCTCCTCTCGTTCTTTTTAAACAAATATTTAAGAATAAAAATAAGAAATAAATGAATAATGAGAAATATAGACAAGAATTCTCAAATTACACCTTAGTTTGTACGTATTACAAATACATTTTTCAAAAATCACATACGATTGATGTTTTGGACTCATAGCTGATACTAATCTATAATAACGCTGTTTTATTTTGCATTTTTATGTTTATATATAAAAGTAGATTTATTGTAGAACATTTTATATTTATTTTGTATTATATTATAATATATGTATGTGTATGTACATACATACAATATAATTAAAAGTTAAATTGATATTTTTATAAAATTATTATGTTTCCTAAATTGTACTATTACAAGGTTTTTGAAATCTACTATTAGTATGATTCAATAACTTAAACTTATTTATTTATTATTTTATGATAATTATTTATTATTATTATTATTTATATTATTTTATACATAATTTTATTACATATTATTTTATTACATAATTATTATGTTTTAATTTATTTATATTATAGATCAATACACACAAAAAAAAACAATTGTTACAAAAAAACGCGTGATCTCATTGAATTAAATACTTTGTGAACATGTTTCATGAGAACGACATGACCCTCTGATAGCGAGCAGCTTAATTATACACTTTTAATTAATGATAATGCCCTACGTTATGTGTCAAAACTATAAAATATTTTCATAATTAACGTCTTTTTGTATAAAAATCTCGAAAAATATCAGTTATCCTTATATGTTTTAGCTATGCCTCGCGTTTGTTTCTGATACGGATTATTCTTAATTTACTTCGTCAATAATTAAAAAATTTAAAAAATATTTTTATTAATCCTTTTGCAAAAAGTTTAAATATAATATTTCAAACTTTGTATCACATTTTATAAATCATATTGATATAATTACTGTAAATTATACTGATATATACATTTAACTGTGTAATAATTGCATATTTTGAATTAAAATCAGAAATCGTAAAGTCATTATAATTCTAAAATTACAAGTAATTAGCTATCGATAAGTAAAGATTAGTCTCTCAGAATTGTAGGTAATTGCATATACACGTGTAACGATCGCTCTATTAATATTTATAATTTAGCAATTTAGCTGATAACTGCAGTTTTTTTATTACATGGCTAATGAATACATTGCGTAAACTGCAACAATTGTAAATTCAAATGTTTGGATTTAAATTTCTAATTTGTATTAATTCCTACAATCTTGTCTTTTACAAAAAAATTATGATATCTGATTATACTGTTTGCATAGCTGCTGTGTTACTATTTGAACTCCAAGACATCACGATCTTCACGATGACGTTGACAAATTGACAATGTCGACGAATAAATTAACATAAAGAAACAAAATGTTATTTTATTGGTTTTTTAGTGGATAGATTTTTATTTTAAATATGTTGATACATCTTTATATATTACACGATTTTTAATATTATTATTATTATCTACTTATTATTAACTTATGTATTTATTTTTCTTCTTAATCGCGCCACTCGTGACCAAGCATCGTGACTTCTCTGCATATATCTCTGTGTACAGCAGATATATGAGATCTGCAGCAATTTAACGCCGATTTTGAACGGTTTTCTATAGAGAGGTACTCATGGCAAAAATATTTTTGGTGAGGTGCCTCTTCTTTCCGAGAGATCAAATAAAAAACCGACGATCTTTTGTCAGATTTAAATTCGAATTTTTAGGCCTGTTTGTTTTCGCTGCACTTCTGACCTGTACAATAAGTTAGACAACAAATATATTTTCTTTTATTCTAACTTATTGCACTAGTTCAGAAGTACAGCGAAAACGAACAGACCCTTTGACTCATTAAAGCCAGAGCATATCTCTGTACGTCACAATCACCACAAAATTTATATTATACTTATTATAAATTTATATGCTTTATTAATATATTTTATACTATGTACACCATGCAAATAGAATATATCTTATTTTATTTTATTAATAATTACGTTAGTTTGATTATTACTACTTAATTCTTTAATTAATGTCTATATCTGTTATTAGTGGTAAGTAATATGCATATTTTAAACGCGTAGTTAATGAGCATCATTAACTGCTGGCTGAACGTAATTAAATGTAATCGTGATTTGTCTCTTAATCGTTATTAAAATAATGTATTTGAGTAAAAAATCAAATATAGATGGGAGAAAAAATATATATTATACTAGAGAAATATGCTTGAAAGCCAAGAATTAATTATAATTGGACAAAATCAAAGTGCCAGATGATTGTACGAGCGAAAATTCGGTAAAGAGCAAAGGCATGCCGAATTAATCGCATGTCCTCGCCGCCACACCCGCCTGGCCTTTTGTAATGCTAATTAGCCTTCAATTAAACCCGGAAACTTGACCCGTCTATCCAATGTCGATTAGGCCTCATCTTATTTTAAGCGCTTTTGTTAGAAGGCCAGGGGTGGCAGTGTGGTCAGTGGTGAAGACACCAGACTCGTAACCACGAAGAACCGAATTCGAGTCTGATCACAGGAATTTTAATATTCCAAACTGCCCAACCCCCACCCCATTTTGCGCACGAGAAATTAATTAACGAGAAGACTCTCGTATAACGGAGAAACTGGACTTTGTCTTTCGTAAGAGATGTTAATAAGCCGTTGATCCATACATAGTATAACTGACAACTGCTATCTGCTATATTTGTATCCGCACCATTTTTCCATCCACCTATCAATCTGCCAGAGAGTGGTAGGTTAATGGCCAAATACTTCTTAAGGAAGATCTATCAGATCTATGTCCAGCAGTGAACGCGCGCGATAGATTGATGATGATGTTAGAAGGCCGCGAATCTCTCTTTCTATTTCTTTCATTACTTTATATATATGTACGTATATATCAGAGTAAATAATTCAATCTTTATAAATTAAAAAACTATAACAAAATACAGCTATAAAAAATAATATGCGCGTATTTAATAATAATAATAATAATAAAATAAAATATAGTGTAAATATACATAATAAAAATATATATGTATATATAGTGTAAATATAAATAATATTCATGTTTAATCCAATAAACAACGCTAAAGCTCTTCAGATATACATTTTAATGAATAAATTTTAATTAAATACATTAATAAAATAAGATTTTAATATAATAAGATATACAACTTAATAAAATAAAAGGCAAATGAGAGCAAACGCGGGTGGTAAAGTAAAAATAAATTTTGTTGTGCACAAGTTATAAAGAATATACGTTTCGGTCTTTGGTTTAGATCTTTTTTATGTGTCGCATAAATAAAATAAAATAAATTATAGATGTGTAGATAATAAAAATTTTGTCAAACACACGGTGTCGAATAGATCAAATAAATCAGAAACGTAGTTAATAGTCTTGTCAGACGGAAGACAATGCAAGAGGGTCTAAACCAAAGATTGAAACGTATGTCATTTGTGTATAATAATTTATTTTCGCTTTAGCACCAGCGTTTGCTCATATTTGCCTTTTATTTTATTAAATTAATATTTTATCAAGCGACGTTATATAGTGTCACCGTGCCAAGAATTGTCCGTAAAAGAATCACATGACTTACGTCTCTGTATAAACGTTAAAACGCTATCAAATTTATCCAGAATTAAAAAATGTAAAAAAATTTTAAGTATATTGCAAAAAATATTTTGCAAAATTTTTTTACATTTTTTTGTTTATACCACTTTGTAGACCTCAACTTACTATTGAGCTTTTATTTCAAACATTTTTTTCTAACTCTTGTAGTTTAAGAGTTATGGGCTAAAAAATAAAAGCGTCTTTTTAACTTTTAGTTTGAAAATTTTACCTTTAAAGGGCTATAAGATACAAATAAAGCATACCGTTATTCATGTATTGAGTCATTCAACATACCTATAATACAAAAGGTTCATCCAAATAGAAGAGTTCGGGTTTGGCTTGTTCCCTTTATTGTAAGTCAGTCGTGGTAATAATATACAAAAATGTTTATATCTCAGAAACGGTTGAGCTTTCAACCTATGTTTACTATGGTTTTTTTACTCAGTATGGTGTGTACTATCTGCCATATAATGATATATTGAATGGATGTTTTATTAACACTCCGTATATAAATTGTGACCAATCCGAATAAATTGTCAGTCAATCTCGAGATCTCGAGATCTATTACGTAAAGTAAATGTTTCAGTTTCAGTTTCGGTCACACATACGCATATATTCACAGCGATTTTGTCTTTCAAGCCATCCAG